GTGTTAAAATTATTAACGCATTTAACGCACTTGCCCCTCCCCAGACCTATGTGGGTCATCTGACATTTCATACAGTTGATTGATGACAAATATGAGGCAGGGCAACAACTCACTGAGTGATGGAGCCTAGAGAACGTAGTTAGAATGTCCCTAAAATTCAAGATATGGGGCAAAAATGCCCGTTTGAGTTTTTGTCTCATATTTACATTATATAGTTAAGCAATAGGCTAAGTGCAATATCACATGAGTGATACTGATCTTATACAACAGTTCAGTAAGTAAGAAGTTAATATTGTGTTATTTTAGACACAATGTTGTCTGTTTTGCTCAATTTTGCCAATGAAAATATAATGTCAAAGCAGAACTGTTCGTCTCAAATTTCCGTACCCACTGTATATATATATAAACACAGTGTAAGAAAGATTACCTGGTAACCAATGAAAGTTAAACCGAGTTCTGGTTCATTCCACTGACTGTGTGAGGCGAAATCCTCGTGGCTCGGTCCGGGTTGTGCCTCCGCTTCATAAGAGCGACTGTGGGAACTTCTTATGAAACATCAAAACTCATTAGAAGCTCTTACGTTTCAGATTACATGAAGAAAAACTCATTCTGATCATACTGTGATAATAAAGAAGCATTTAATCATATATAATTTCTGTTTATCAGTACTGGAACCAGCATATTATGAAAACCTTGACTGGTATTAGCACAAGTAAAATATCTGGACACAACTATTCATTTATTATTATCCATATTTTAGTCATCAAAACTACAAAATAAATTGAATTATAGCAATGATGTAGTAATTTAAATGTTAAACAAAACAAAATAAAAAATTAAATTCATATATAGATATATTTTATATATATATATATATATATACAAAACCAGTTTTTGTACTGTATATTCGTATAAAGATTAAGGATGCACCAATCAATAAAAAAAAAAACACACGCACACACTGATACTTCATTTTCTGCACTTGCACCAGTATCTCTAGTAATGCTTCATTTTAAGGACAACATGGTATTTTCATCGTCTATAAAATATATTGACTATAGAAACACTTAAGCAAGGTGAGTACATTTTTTTTTTCATTTAAGTCAATGTACTGACATATGTACAGCAGAAATGTACTGTTATTTCAGTTAAACTATTTTTCCCTTAAGTTATCTCACGCCGAAAATATACAACAACTATCAAAAATTTGGGGTTGGTAAGAATTTTCAATGTTTTGAAAGAAGTTTCTTATGTGCCCCAGCCAAGGCTGCATTTATTCATCAGAAATGCAGAAAAAATAAAACAAAATCCTGTGATGAATAGAAAGTTCAAAAGAACTGCATTTATTTAAAATAGAAATCTTAAGTTTTGTAACATTATAAATGTCTTATAAATTTGTCTCTGTTAATTTTGATCAATTTAATGCATCTTTGCTGAACGAAAGTATACATTTCTTGAAAGAAAAAAAAATCTTACTGACCCTAAACTTTTGAATACTAATGTATTGGAATTGATATATATATATTGGTGCATTTTGATAGATGAGTATTGGTGCAACAGTTTTAAGATAACATCATCATTTTTGCATGTATTTTACCTGGCTGCATGTTTACTGCTGTGCTGGTCCACTTCAGCAGGTTGTACCAGTTCTGGATCAGGCTAAGTTTGATTCAGGAAAGTCAACAGTAATGCTCCATGTCTTTTTAACATCATTTTCCCAGCAAAGGAATTACTTTGATAATAAATACATGCCCTTTTAAAAAAAGGCTAATTAGCAACAGAGTTTAAAAAAGTCACAAATAACATTTCCTATGATTTTTTTCTGAGTACTGAGATATGGATACGCTTGGAGCATCCCAGGAAAACAAACCTCTGATAATGACTGAAGGACCTCCAGTCTGTGCTGCTCCTGGGATCGGATCACTGCAGCTTGCTGAGGATGAAAGAAGAGAAGAAATGTTCAGATATGGTAACACCAACAATGTAACTACCTGTAAAATGTCTTTACCTGTTTAATAAGCACATCCTCTTTTTCCTCAAACTGTTCCAGAGCCTTGGAAACCTCAGACTTGAATCTACAAAAAAAATAAAAATTTTCATTTCTTTCTCTGTAGAACATCTGCAAACTTTTACAGTGATGTTATCAGTGTACTAATGTACTACAGAAATGCTAATATGAACACACCCATGTCCCCAAACACAAAAAAGCAAGCAATAACCTCTCTGTTTCCTCTTCTGTTATGATAAACTTGTCTCGCAGTTTGGGCTCTGCTTTATTGTCCCACCAGAACTTGTGTGTGTTTTTCCGGTGCTCTGGGCTGAAATGAAAAGCACTGAGTGAATTCCCTGCAAACTCCGCATGCGTTTCTCACAGGTTCTGATGTGTGATCTTACGTGCTCATGTGCTCCAGCAGTCCTCCGTACAGCACACTGATGTTACTGTCAGTCACGTGTTTCTGCACCTCCAGCGCGCAGCAGTAACACCAGAACTTCTCCTCATGATGGGGACTGTATTTCTCCACCTGAGGATTTTTAATGGTCCGCCGTGCTTCTTTGACCTGTTATAACATGCAGAAATGTTATTACACATGCAGACGCAGAGCAACAAATACATTTATTACTGTTCATGGCACCAACCAGTATTTCCACACTCAAATCACACTTAATGCCAATGTGTATAATGTGTATAATATATATATATATATATATATA